CCCACCGCACACACTCCCACACCCCCCCATCACCCACCCGTCTCCCCACCGCGCACACTCCCAGGCCCGCCCAGCGCCCCCCCGGTCTCCCCACTGCGCACTCTCCACCCTCACAGGTGTTTCTGTCTCCAGGTGACCTGCCCCACTTACACCTCATGGGTCCTTCGCTTGCGGGTGTGACACAGTTTAATGCGGCACCTGGCCCAGTTAGAGCAGGACCCCTCCCTCCCCGAAGCCTCAGGCTGCGTGTCACCCCGCTGCGTAGGGACTGAGTGCGAGGGGCTGGGGTTCCTTTACAGGGAAACACTGGGAGGAAGTGCAGCCTCCCCTTTGTCCCGGCCCCGCCCCCCCAGGCAATCTGCAAAGTGACAGTCACTCGGGGTCTCTGTGGGCTGAGTCCTGGTGTGAGTGGGACACAGAGGACTTCATGGAAAATGAGGGGCCCGGCCGGCGTGGCTCAGTGGTTAGGCATCGACCTGTGAACCAGGAGGTCACGGTTCAATTCCCGGTCGGGGCACATGCCTGGGTTGCGGGCTCCATCCCCAGTGTGGGGCGTGCAGGAGGCAGCCGATCCACGATTCTCTCTCATCATGGATGTTTCTCTCTCTCCTTCCCTCTCCCCCTTCCTCTCTGAAACCAGTAAAAATATCTTAAAAAGTGAATAAGGGAACCACAGTACACGTCTTCCTGCAAAATGACTCAGATTAGCATCCGACACACACAGAACCCCCGCACGGCTCGGCAGGCCTCTGGCCTCCGTGTCCGGCCTCAGCATCTCCGGGAACACCCCAACTCCACCGCGGCGAGTCTCTCCCTCGCCGTTTCTCCTGCCAGGTAAAAGCGTGCGGACACACGGCCTCGTGAAGAAAACCTGCATCATGTTGTCAACACAGACAACCTCAAGTCCAACGGAACAGCCCGATTCCAGGTATCGTCGCTCTCTGTGAGCTGCCCATCCCCAGGGGGTCTGCGCTCCCTGCACGGACGGGCCCCGTGTCCACTCAGAAACAGCCCCAGTAAATGAAGGGAAACGTGGAGACGCCGCGGACCCGCCTCGGGCGTTTACGAAGGCGAAGAGAAGCAGGGACAGTGCAGACTCACACCGACCAGCAGCTCCGCCAGCTCACACGGCCTCAGCGTCTCACAGGCAGAACGGCGAGGTCTGGCCACAGTTCCTGCATACGATGAAACCCCGGTCTCCTGAGCTTGTGTTTTGGGGCGTCAGCAGCGCTGGGTGATTGTGTGTAAATGTCACAAATTAAATGAGCCCGTGCCCGCTGCTTCGCTGCCTGTTCTTCACAACCAAACCCTCGTCCATCCACCTCGGGCAGGCGGAGCGGCTGGGAAGGTGGGCGGCCAAACGGGTCCCAGGGCAAAGGTAACGCTGGATCTGACTGCGAAATAACAAAACGAAAGCAAATTCTGTGCGTTCATGTCTGTGGCGTCGATGTACTTTTTTAAATTTAACCTCGAGGTTAAATAGCTCCTTGGAAAAACAGACGTTTGGAAAAGCCATCGTTATCCACATTGAGACACAAAAAGAGAGACCACTGCCAGTCTTAACATGGCCTTTTTCTGAGCCAATGATAAAGGAGTTAAAATTGGCAAGGAACAGGTCTTTGTGCAAAATCTGTATATATAAAAGGCTAATATGCTAAGTGTCCCTCCCTCCGTGCAACTGGTCGCTATGATGCACACTGACCACCAGGGGGCAGACGCTCAATGCAGGATTTGCCAATCTGCAGTGACTTGGCAGCGGTGGTTCTTGGGTGATGCACCCCAGGAACCAGAGAGGAGGGAGCCCGATTCCTCGCGGAGCCGCGTGATTCTACCTTCAGTGGTGGGTTATGTTGTTGCTGGGGCTCTGTCGGCCCTGAATCTGGTTTACTGCACACTTGCGTTTGCGTTCCACACCCTGTACGACAGCAACTTTGCAGAGTGCCCTCTCGCACTCCGGAACACCCCTCGGGCGTCGGAGAGCCAGTTTCAGCCCGATCCCCACAGGCCAGGCCGAGGGACCCCACCTGGCGGAGGGACCCCGCTCACTCTGCAGATGCCCTTTCAGCCACGGCACCACCCCAGGTGTGGCTGGCCGGGGAGAGACCACAGGAGGTTGGCTCCAGGGCGTGACCAGCCCATCTCGCCCAGTCCCGCCCTGCCAGCCACCTTCTAATGAATTTCCTTTCAATGTGCACGAATCCGTGCACCGGGCCACTAGTGCATACACAAAGCCAAGAAACATCTATGAATGGCAAGCAACACTATCACTCCTCCCCAGGCCACGACAACAGTTACAGTCTGTAACTGTCCCCATGACCTTCTCCCTAAGGCCACAGGCACTGCTTCCTCCGGCGCTGCCCTGTGACGTGAGCAGCGCAGCGATGATGTGCAAGGAAGGGGCGTCTCCGGAGAAAGGCTCCATCGCACCACAGCGACCCTCCCCTGGGGAAGGCGACCGGGAAGTGAGGGATGGGTGGAGCAGGTGCCCCGAGGGACCCAGAATCCCGTGCGACCCGTGGGGACGCCCTTCCGGCTGCCGTGAGGGCTGCGTGAGCCAGGGAGGGCGTGAGGGAGCAGCCAGGAAAATATTCGTGCGAAAGACAAAACAGACACACAAAACCCCGGGCCCCGTAGGCAGTGGCGAGCGAGAGACATGGGACGGAACATCTGGCGAATTGGGGGAGACAATTCCTTGGTGAGCTGCTCGTTGCTTCTTCCTCACCGACATCCACGCCATCTTATCAAACCCTGAAAAGATACAGAGATGTCCACCGGGGATAGCCAACGTGGCTGTTGACCTGTGCAAGGAGCTCCGGCGTGCCCACATCTCCAAAGGCTCGAGGCCTCCCAGGCAGCTCAGCTACCCGTTCCATCCCAGGACGCTCCCCTGAGTGGATCCCAACACAGAGCAGATTGTGAATCGCAACCTGGTGGCTTTCCTTCCAGGACTGAGCTTGGAGGCTCCTCGGGACTCTCCAAGCCCAGCGACCCGGAGCTCACGCACACGCACACGCTCACGCACACGCACACACACACACACACACGCTCACGCACACGCACACGCCTCACTCCTGAAGATCATCCCATCGGGGCAGAAGAGTCAGGCGCAGACCACGAAGCCTCAGAG